CAGCCCGGGTCTCCCCTCACCCCAGGTCCCCCCTTACTCCCCTCTCCCCGGGTCGCCCCTCACCCCGCCGCGGCGGTGACCGGGAGCGGCTGCGGCCCATGGCCGCCCCTCAGCCCCGCGCTCGCACCGCGCTCACTCCCGGGGCAGGAGCAGGAACCGGAGGAGCGGGAGCGGGTCCTGCAGCAGCGGGTCAGCACCACATCGGGACCCGCCGGCCGCGGCTCCCCGCGCTGGCCGCCCGCCCCCGAGCCAGGAGAGCGGGAGGACGGAAGGGGAGGGAAGGGGGACGGGCCGGCGGAGCCATTTCCTTCCGCCGGGCGCTGCTCCCTGGGCCCGGGCACGGCCGGGGATGTACCTGCGGCTTGGGGAGAACCGGGGTGGGTCAGGGATGTTCCTGCAGCTCATGGAGGGCCGGGGTGGGTCAGGGATCCACGTGCAGCCCTGAAGAGCCCACCCGCAGCAGGGGATGCCTGACACAGACTGTGACCCTCTGGGAAGCCCGTGCTGGAGCAGGGTCCTGGTGGAGAGAGGAGCCCAGGCTGGAGCAGGTTTGCTGGAAGGACTTGGGAGCCTTTGGGGGCCCAGCTTGGAGCAGGGGTTGGACTCGGGCTCATTTCCCTGAGCAGCAGCAGGAACAAGCTGTGATGACCTGCCTGTGACCCCCATTCCCGTGTCCCTGTGCTGCTGGAGGGGGTGAAGGGAGAGCCCAGGAAGGAGGGAGGCCTGGGGGGCAGGTGTTTGTAAGATTGATTTGACTTCTCATTCTCCTGCTCTGATTTTGTTGTTAATAAATTCAATTACTGTCCCCCCGGTGAGTCTGTTTTGCCCATGACGGTGATGGGTGAGGGATCTCTCCTGGTGTTTATCTCAATTCATGAACCTTTCATTATGTTTTCTCTGCCCTGTCCAGCTGCAGAGGGCAGTGACGGAGCAGCTTTAGTGGGTACCTGGTGTCCAGCCGGGGTCAATCCACCACAGTAGGGAAGAGGAGAGGAGAGAGCTCAGGAAGTTCCTGCAAAATTCGGGCACAGTCTGTGAGGTGCTAAGCTAGGGAGCACAGCACTTGTGCTCAGAAAAGAAGCCCTCATTGCAGGCTGAGTGCTGTAGCCTCTTCTATTTGAGTTCCTGAATTCGTCCTGTCTCAGGGCAGTAAACTAAGAAGTTTTCCATTGGAAAGGAACCAGTCCTGTATTCCTTCACACCAAAAAGTGCTTTTAACTTGGTTTTTCTTCTTACAACTGTTAACAAAATTGAGTATAAACAGGATATGAGCGTGATGATGTTTTTAACTGCTGGCTTAAGTTACAGTTGTATTTAAGAAAAGAAAAAAAAGCCTTTTTTCCTCATTAGATAACTTTGGCAAGAAAATTTAATATATTGATGTTAGAAGGCTGAGGAAGGTCAATTTTGTTGCTTCTCACCTTTCCAGCATCCCCCACAGACTCTCCTCTTCGTGGCAGCTTTCCTGTCCTCACACCATTCTTTCACAGCAGCTGCATGGCTGAAGAGCTTCTAGTTCGTTACTCCTTCAAGCAGAAGATTAGAAAAGAGCACCATGGATAAGCTTTTGTTACTCTTGCACCTTCAGAGGAGCTTAAATGACCCCTTTTAACACTTTGGAAGGACTCTGCCATGATTAGCAGTGGCTTCTGTTCTCCTGAATGGGAGTCACCACCAGGTAGATGGTGAAAACAGACCCCACTAATTTTGTCTTGCTTTTTCTTACTGTGATTTTATACCATGTGAAGGCCAAGGAAGGGAAGAGTCTGCCTGTAACTGCAGCTTCATCACAGTGGTTTTCTTCAGGCTTCTTACTGCTTATAATTCTTTTTATTAATAAAAAGCTGCTTTGCAAACAGATTGCCTAAAATTCCTCTTGGAGATTAAAGTTGGCTTATTGATTCAAAAGCTGGATGAAAATACCTCTCTGCAAACCATTTTAACAGCCTGCATGTGTGCAGGGGTGTGGGAGAATGGCCTTTTGGGAAAGGACTGTTTGAACAGGGGACGTGGTATTTCTGGCTTAGCCCAGCATTTATATATTCAGATAATTCCGATAATTCATCCTGTAGTCTGGTCCCAGACAAGTAACACTGTGTAAAGCAGATTCAGTATCTGCACTAGTGTCCTTTTTTTTATTAAAGGTTTAACAGAAAATTTTCCTCCCTCAAAACTGTACCTGGCTGGAGCCTCGCTTGTCCTACCAATGTGGCTCTTCTTGCCATAGCTCCAGTCCTATCCCTGCTGGCAAATGCAGATCTGCTTTAAAATGTGAATGTTAGACCTGCCATAGGTCTGGTCCTTCCCACTCCCCCCAGGCTGTTCCCTGCAGGGGCTGTGACAGGTCACAGGCTGTGGGTACAGTCATGGGCTGCAGGTTCCTGCATCAGTCTGGGGGGGCTTTTCAGTTCTGGATATGAACCAAGAGACTTGTTTTAGATCAGAAAAGAATTCCTGTTTCTGACCAGCAACATCTTCTACAAACGAAACTACTGAGATAAATTGTGGGAAGCAGCAATTTCTCAGCAAAACCAATTTTGTGACTGGCCTGATTTTCCCCAGATTCTACCCGAGAATCCACCTAATTAGATGAGCACAACTCCTGCTGTCACACTTCTCTCCTGCTGCAGAGGAGAGACAAAATTTGAAGTTCCACATCCCTATTTTTGAAGTTCAACCCCCTGCTCTGAGACAGAAAGTGTTGTGTTTTAATGGAACACCCAAGTGTTGATCCAGCTGCTGCATCCTCTGGGAAACACGAGGGAAACGTGGAAAGCCAACATCCATGTGGAATGTGGCAGTGCTTGTCTAGGTACCAGCACATCTCCCATTGTCCCCCCTGCACCCAGAAAGGAACCAAGGCCTGAATTTCCCTGGTCAGGGCAGCCCTTCAAACTTGAAAGGAGAACTTGGCATCTGTCCCCTCAAAGAGGAGGGAAGGAGAGACTGTGCAGCAGTTCCAGAGGTGTCTTCCAGACCCCCAGACAAACCCTTAAGGGTTCTCAAACGTTAACATTTCTGTGGGTAAAAATAAATAGGCTTGATTCCAGGCCCAGCCCCAGCTCCACCTCCATCCCATCCCAGCCCTGTCCCACCCCAACTCCATTCCCCTGTCCGTCCACACACCATCCTCAGCCCTGTCTCTGTCCCCACCTCCATCCCCACCTCCATCCCCATCCCCACCCCTATCCCCATCCCTATCCCCATCCCCATCCCATCCCAGCTCCATCCCCATCCCTTCCTCTATCCCATCTCAGCTCCATCCCCACCCCCACCTCCATCCCAGCTCTCTCCCCATCCTCAGCTCCATCTCGTCCCCCTTCCCAACTCCATCCCCGCTCCCCCCCCCCCCCCCTCCTGGTATCCCCATTCCCCCCCCCCATCTCACCCAGCTTTATCCCCAGCCCATCCCATGTCCATCTCACCCCCCGAGCCCGGGACACCCCTCTCTCCCCGCAGTGTCCGGGCGCTGCCGGTGCCAAACACGGGGTTTATTTGTTTATTTACACCGGCGTTCCACCGCTCCCGGCCGCGATTGTCACCCGCGGGGACATCCCCCATCCCGGCCTCCTCCCGGGGCCATTCCCGGGGCTTCACCCCCCCCCCAGTCCCGCGACGGGGCTCTGCCGGGAGGCCCAGTTGGGAAAAGGGGCTCTGGATCCCGGTGGATCCCCGGGATCGCCCTCCCCGCGGCCAACGAGGGGATCAGCCTCTGTTCTCCAGCACAGCCCCGGGCCAGGGATTCGCCCCATCCCTGCCCTCCCTGGAGAGACCCCCACCCCGAGCCTTGCTGGAGCGAGGGGAGGGAGCCAGGATGGGGGGGGTTATCCCAAAGGTGGTCCTGGGATGTGATCTCAGATCCACGTCCTTCCAGCTGAGCAGCCGGGAGGGACCCTCGCCGTGGGATGATGGTGGCACAGGAGCCTTTGTCCCTGCTGGGGCACCGAGTCCTTCCCTGCCCGAGAGCCCTGGAATTCCATGGACGGGGAAGTCAACCCCTGTCATCTCTGCAAAGCCCGTGGCCCTTCGAGAAAGGAGTTACAAAGGCGCTGGGGACAAACCTTTGGGGACAAAGGGGTGACAGAACTCCCAGGGACAGTCCCTCAGGGACAAAGGGGTGACCAAGCCCCCGGGCCGGGGCTGGGCTGTGTGGCAGTGCTGTCATTAAGAACGCCCCCGGGTGCGATGGTGCCACCCGGGGAGGTGACACAGCTGTCCCTGGGGGGTCACCTGGGGGGGGAAACAGGCTCAGGGACAAAAATGGCCTCAAAGAGCCTTAAAATCAGTGGCAGTGAGGAACAGCCCCCCTGGGGACAGGGCTGGGGGCACAGAGCGGGTTTGGGGGCTCAGGGTGTCCCCTTGGTCCCCCCAGTCCCTGTGGGAGCAGGATGGGGACCTGGGGAGGACACTGGGCAGGGCAAAGGCTCTTCCCAACCTCCAGGCTCAGGTTGGCTGTGGGGTCTGGTAACCCAGGGTTCTCTCTGCTCTTTCCTGCACCCCGATCCCTCCCACACCCCATCCCATGGGCTTCCTGCTTTTCCAGAGGGGATCCAACCCCCCTGAGCTGCCTCACAGCAGCAAAAAGCCTGGAAACCACAGTGACGGCACACGGGACAATCCTGCTGGGAGTGAGGAAACCCCAATATGGGGGCTCTGGGTCCCCCAGACCCCCCTGGACAGGACCTCCTGGAAGGCTCAGGGTGAGCACTGCAGGAAATTGGGAGGATGGGGCCCGATCCCATTGGGTTATCCCCAAAATCCCAACACTGGAGCGGCTGCAGGGCAGATCAGCAGGGCTGGGGCTCTTCTTCCCAGGAAGAGGTTTGGCCGGGAGGTTGTAACTCTGGGAGGGAAGGGAACGCCGGGAAGGACTGAAGTTGTGCTGGGAATCCAGAGCTGGGCAAAGCAGGGATCCGTCGTGGGTGGGGCGGTGTGAGCGGGGCCGGGGGCGCTGGCGGGAATTGGCAGCGTGTGTTCATCCCGAAGTAGCACTTGGTGAGTGAGTTTTGCTCAGTTTTAAGTAACACAGACGATTCCCGGAGGTGATTTTTCCCTACTTTCCAGGGTGCGGGTCGTGCGGTGAGGTGGGGGCTTTTCCAGGGGTGGGAAATCCTGCTGCTCTTCCTCGGGTGGGGGGAATGCGGGATGGGAGCACCAGGAGAAGGGGAGGAAGTGGTTCTTCAGCCCAAGGAGAGGAAGATTACGATCTAGGAAGGAGAAACCTTGGCTTCTCCTTTGGGAAGAGCAATCCCCCACCTTCATCCCGGTCCCATTCTCCCGGTGAAGCAACAGGCAGTTTTCCCTGGGGATGAAGCCAACGCCATTCCAGCAGAGCTTGAAACAGAAGGTGAAGAAAATAACCACAAACCACCCTTTTCTTCCTCAAATCAAGCAGATCTGGGCTCTGGTAGGAAAATCCAACTCTCGGCCCATGGTGGGAAGGGGCTGGAGCCCAGGAGGGAGAGGGGGAGGGAGGTGCAGCAGGAATTTCCCCAGGTGGGGACCACAGTCTCTCTAAGCTCGGTGACCGCCTCCAGGAGCGGGTGACAAGGGGGACGAGGTACCTTGTGCCAGGAGGACCCAGAAAACAGCCGGATTCCGGGGGTTTGGGGCTGGGCCTCGGCCAGACGCGCGAGGCAGGAGCCGTTCCCCCGCCCCGGGGGATCCCAGGGGTGGCCACCACCACCAGCGAGGCCTCCAGGGAGACTCAAGATTCGATCTTTTCCTTCTTTTTGCCTTTTTTCAGGAAAGACGGGGTCCGGAATTTCTTCTTCTTCTTGGAGGGTGATTTGGAGGGTGAACCGTCGGGGGAGACGGGGGTGCTGGTCACCGTCTCCTTCTCCTTGGGGACATCCTGGTCGGCGTTGGGGGCTGTCCGCTCCGTCCCCCCTTTTCCCAGGTTTTCCTCAGTGCTTTGCTCCTCGTCCTTCCCGTTCACCACCGCCGGCGGCTCCTTCTTGGCGGTGGAATCGGCCGGGGCTTGGCCGCCATCCACCTTCTTGTCACCTTGGGAGCAGAGAGGGGACAGGGAATTGGGGTGGCAGTGCCCATGCTGTTGGGGTTTGATCCCCCAGTCACCGGTGGGGCCTGGGCAGGAGCAGGATTTGCCCTCCAGGGGTGGAGAACGTTGGGATTTGATCCCGTCCTGCCGCAGGTGCCGCTTCCCCGAACCTCCCCCCTCCCTGCGGGACAAGCGATGTGGGATGGAGAGCTGGGAAGAGGCAGCGGGAAAAGCAAGAAGCAAACAAGGAGGGATTTCCCAGTGGATTTCCTAAGGGATTTCCTTCCTTGGGGATCCCTGAGTGGGCCACGGAGAGCAAAGTTCCCCCCGAGCCCATGTCCCTCCTCCGGGATGGCCTCTCCGTACTTACTACGGCACCAGGGATTCAGGGATAACTCCTTGGGTGACAGGCACACGGGGAGGAAAGAGAAAGGAGACATTGTGGAGACAGACAGACAGACAGACACCACGAGACACCATGGCAGAGCCAGCAGCCCCAAGCCCCGACACCCGCGGCCGACCGGAATGACGGGAATGTCGCACCCGCCGGAGTTGGGATGGGGGACAGGGGTGTCCCTGCACCCCACAAAACCACCAGCGGATGAATCCCCACTGGGGTTGGGCCCCTCCGGAGCGGGGACCCCCCAGGACAGGCAGAGGGACACAGGGGCATGTTGAGCTGTGTCAGCATGGTTTGGCCTCAGCCCCCTCATCCCCCCACTGCATCTGCTCAGGGGGGCCCCGCTCCTGGGTTTGGGGTGCTTGTCACCCCACTCACCCTCCGTGGGCTCCGCAGGCACGGGGGGCTCCGGGGCCGAGCCGGGGGAGGCTTTGGGTGGGGGGGGCCCCGCTCTCCTCGGTCGCCGCGTCCTTCTCGCCTGCCACGGAGAGACACGTTGGCCATGGGGTACCCTGGGTGCCACCCGGGGGAGATGGGGGTATTTTGGGGTGCCCCTCCTACCCTGCAGCCGCTTCTTCCTCTCCACCTCCTGCCTGTACTCCTCCAGCTCCTGGTCCGTGAGCTGGCTGAAGGGGTTGGGGGGCTCCGGCTCGGGGGGAGCCTCTTCCCGGGAGCCCTCCTTGGCCTCCGCGTCCCCCAGGTGGCTCTCGGTGGACTGGAACAGACCCCCCCCGGTGAGGTCAGTCCCCCTGGAACAGTGTCACCCCCTCCAGAGTAGGGTCACATCCCCCCTCAGAGCACCGTCAACCTCCTCTAGGGTGGTGTCACCTCCTCCACAGCAGTGTCACCCCCTCTGGGGTGGTGTTAGTGCCTCTGGAGTGGTGTCACCTCCTCCATAGCAGTGTCACCCTTCTGGAGTGGTGTCACCCCCCTTCACCAGTGGAATGCTGGGGAGGGAAGGGCTGGTGGTCTGAGGAGGGGGATGTGTGGGGACATGGGGCTGGGGACATTGGATGACATTGGATCAGGAATATGGAGTGGCATAGGGCTGAGGACATTAGGTGACATGGGGTGACACAGGGTGATATGGGGCTGGGGGTGCAGGGCTGGGGACACAGTGTGGCATGAGGTGACACCATGCCATGTGTGGGACTGTGGCTGGTCTTGGTGACAATGCTGGTCAGTGCTGTGACCAGGGATTTGGGGTGACAAGGGGTTGGGGAAACAGGGTGACACAGGGCTGGGGACACAGGGTGGTATGGGACTGGGGACATGGGGTGACACAGGGCTGGGGACACAGGGTGACACAGGGTCACATGTGCCAGGGACACAAGGTGACATGGGGCTGGGGATGCACGGTGACACAGGATGACACAGGGTGACCCAGGGTGACATGGGGCTGGGGACACAGGGTGACAGAGGGTGACAGAGGGTGACACAGGGTGACACAAGGTGACACAAGGTGACACGGTGCCTACGGGGCTGCGGCTGCTCTCGGCGATGACACTGGCCAGCAGCTGCGACTGGGGCCCGGCCGACTTCACGTCCTGGCGGTTTTGCTCCCGGATCTGAGGGTGAGGACAGGGCTGAATCCCCCCGAGGATGGGGGTAAATCCCCCCTGTGCCCCTGCCCCACCCCGCGGGGCCGCACCTTGTTGCGCATCTCCAGCACCTCCTGCGGGTCCGTGTAGAGGGGCACGAACTGGTTGGGGTTCTCGATGCGAATGGGGGTCCCACTGCTGCCCTTCTCCACCTCGTCCGCTCGCAGCCACTGCAGCAGCAGGGAGGGAACCCCAGAAAAGGTGTGTTGGGAAGGGGGAGACCCCAATAACAGAAAGGAGACCCCGATAATAGAGGGGAGACACAAGAAGTGCAGGGAGACCTGATAAATTCAACTTGTGCAGAGGGGAGACCCCAGTGTAGAGGGGAGACACAGTAAATGCACCTTGTACAGAGGGGAGACCCTGACACATGCGCTTTACATAGAGGAAAGACCCCAGTAGTAGAGGGGAGACCCCAATAAATGCATTTTACATAGAGGGGAGATCCTGATAAATGTGGGAAGACCCTGACAAATGCACCTTGTGTAGGGGGGAGACGCTGATAATAGAGAGGAGACTCCAATAAATGCAGAGACACCCAAGTAAACTCAACTTAGATAGAAGGGAGATGCCAATAAATGTGAGAAGATCACAATAAACTCATTTTACATAGAGGGCAGATCCCAAGAAATGCATTTTGCATAAAGGGGAGACTCCAGTAATAGAGGCAGACCTTCACAAAGACAATGGCTCTCAGTTCCCCAAGAAGGGGTGGTGGGATTTCAAACTAACCATTGTTACGAGCTGAGGGTGGATCCCTGGGCCTTGCAAATTTTAGCAGGATCAGTAACATCCCGGCCACCCCTACCTGGGATCCCCCACACCCCACCCGTCACCATTCCCGAGACAAACCCCTTCCCAAACGTCTCCAACGGCCCCGTGCAGCCGCGTCTGCCCCTCACCGTGGTCTTTGTCCTCTGGCCGCCGGCACTGCCCTGCGGCTCCTCGGCCAGGCTGACCCTGGTGTAGGTGTTGGGGGTGTTGAGCCACCTCGTCTTCTCCTTCTGCTGCTTCTGGGCGTGCTGGCGCAGCGCAGGGGTCCCGGCGGGCTCCTCCTCGAACACGAAGGCCGTCACAGTGGCCGGGATGAGCACGTCGCTCTTGGGCTTGCTCTTCTCCTGCACGAAGGGGTAGCGGTACGTGTAGCCCGTGCGGTACCCCTGGGGAGCAGAGAGCGAGGAGGCGTCAAGGCAGGGGAGACAAAGAGGCTTCTGAGAGTAGTTTGGGGGGCCTGGGGGGTTTGGGTGCTCACCAGGTTGTCCAACATCCTCATGAGGGCCTCGAACTCATGCTCGCCCAGGCGGCTCTTGTGCAGGGGCCCGAAGGTGGTGCCGGCGCGGCGCAGGGCGCCGGGGCCGTGGGGCACTCGCTGCTTCGCCCCCTCCAGCACGATCAGGTTCTCGGCGCCGCCCGCGCTCGCCAGCGCCGACACCTGCCCGGGGCGAGGGGCAGGGTGAGGGCAGGGAGCATGGGGGGCAGCCCTAGCCCTGCCCACGGACCCTGTGCTGGGCACTGCGGGGGCTGAGACCGCACACAACTCAGTGCATGGACCCAGAACACTGCACTGACTGCAGAGACCTGGCACAGCTCAGTGTATGGACCCAGAACATTGTGCTGACTGCAGAGACCTGGCACAGCTCAGTGCATGGACCCAGAACACTGCACTGACTGCAGAGACCTGGCACAGCTCAGTGTATGGACCCAGAACACTGCACTGACTGCAGAGACCTGGCACAGCTCAGTGCATGGTCCTGGGGCACTGTGCAAGTGGCAGAGACCTGGTCATGGGGCACTGCAGTGGGGGGTGAGACAATACACAGCTCAGTGCACAGGCCCAGGGCACTGTTCTGGCAGCAGAGACCTGGCACAGCTCAGCTCACGGACCAGGACATTGCACTGACTGCAGAGACCCAGCACAGCTCGGTGCAGAGTCTCGGGGCACTGGGCTGGTGGCTGAGGCCTGGCACAGCTTCACTCATGTCTGGGGCCCCACAGTGGTGGCAGAGACCTGACACAGCTCAGTGCGCGGTCCTGGGGCCTGTGGCTGCAGCTGAGCCCACACACAGCTCAGTGCTCATTCCTGGGGTACCACGGTGTTGGCTGAGGCCGTACACACTCAGTGCCCATTGCCAGGGTCACCAGGCCGTCAGCTGAGCCCACACACAGCTCCTCACATGCCCCGTGCTCACCTGGACTTCGCAGGCCGCCTGCAGGTGGAAGATGCTGTAAAAGGCCTCCTCGGCCGTGTCCCCCAGCGCCAGCACTCCGTGGTTCCGCAGCACCAGGATCTGTGGGTCACCGGGAGCTCAGCGGGGCGGGGAGGGGTGACAGGGCCACCCCACGTCCCCCCCCAGGCGCCCCCTCACCTTGCAGGTGGGCCCGAGGCACTTCTGGAGCTCCACCCGGTCGGCCTCGTCCTCCACCTCCCCGCGGAAGTCGAAGTAGGCGACGTCCCCCAGGAGCAGCGCGGCCCGGGAGATGGGCAGGAGCCCGCAGCGCATGGCCGACACCTGGGCACGGGAGGGACAGGGCAGGGGGGGACAGGGGACCCCCAACACCCCCACAGAACGGCAGCACCCCAAAAACCGGCAACGCCCCGAAAAACCCAACCTTGAACCCCCTCCAACATCCCACAAAAAGAAACACTAAACCAAAGAACCCCACAAAGAACTCCACTGCCAAAAAATCCACAACCCCCAAAAAAAGCCATCCCCAAAAACCCCCAACCCTCCCAAAATCCCCCCAAAACCAAGTTCCTAAATTCCCCCCAAGCCCTCCACCACCCAAACTACAAAATCCCACCGAAAACCAAATTGCCCCCAAAGAGCCCAAACAACCCTAACCCCCAGAAACACCCCCAATTACCTCCAACTCTCCCTGTCCCCTCCAAATCCCCAGTGCTCCCAAATCCCATAGTACACTTCAAGGCCCCAAAATCCTCCCCAGCCCAACCCTTCCCTCAAAGACACCCAACTTCTTTAACCCCCC